ACATGTCATGATGCATGTGTACAAGTCAGAGGACAGCTTTTGGTTTTCACCTTCTACCTTGTTGAGGCAGGCTCTGTTTTTCTGCTGCTCTGTAGCATGTTCCAAACTAGCTGGTTGTTGAGCTTCTGGGACAGGCTCCTTCATTCACTTCCCATCTTGCTGTTGGAGTACTTAGATTACAAATATACCCCTCATCATCAGACTTTTAATATGGGTCTGAGAGCTCAAACTCAGGTTGTCAGGTTTTCCCAGCAGACTCTTTTACACACTGAGCCATGGCCCTGGGTTATGCTCAGTTTTAAGTGGTGCCGTTTGTGTGTGTGTGTGTGTGTGTGTGTGTGTGTGTGTGTGTGTGTGTGTGTCCTATCTTATGTCAAGTTGACAAAAAACTTATTATTCCGGTCCCCCCTTGTCAATTTGATAATATGCAAACACATTGCAGTTAAACCATAACCTTCTTTTCTTATTTGTCTCCAGGATCTTACACTAAGGTCACATTATTAAACAGTATAACATTAAAAGTCCCACAGTCTTTTTAAAAATGTAAACTCTTTAAAGTTGAGTCTATTTAGAATATCCAATGTCTCTTAAAAATTCAACATCTTTCAACTGTGGGCCCCTAAAAATAAAAAATAAGTTATGTAAGTTTTTTAGATAGGGGTCTCACTATGTAGCCCTGGCTGACCTGGAACTCACCATGTAGAACAAACCAGCCTCAAATTCAGAAAGATCCACCTGCCTCTGTCTCCTGAGCTGTGGGATTAAAGGTATGCAGCACCTTTAATGTCCAACACGTTGCATACTTCTAATTTCAAGAAGGAAGAACCAGGGCACAGTTATAATTAGATCAAAACAAAATAAACAACTAACAGTGTAAATCAAACTGTGTAACTCAGTGACTGAGATCTGGGACTCAGGATCTCCTGAGCTCCAATGGGCTTGGGCAGCTTCATATCTCATGCTCTACTATCTACAGCATATATAACTTGTCTCATAGGTTCAGGCCAGGCTGTTCCACATCTACCACTGTTCTAGGTGGTCATCAGCTTCTCTCCACAATACATTCATGCCTTCAAAATCACCAACCACCTGGGAGATTCTTATACATTACCAAAGTTCAGCTGCCAGTGCAAGGTACAGACTTGCCCTTCTCTGGACCACAGCTTCTGTGTACTGACCTTAAGGAATCATTTCCCAAAAGATTTTGCCTCAGTGGTGTGGTTTCTTTTTTATCACAGCTGATTTTTCAGCCCCAGCTAAGTAGCATTGATTGTCCCAGTAAAACAAAGATTTCACTTCAACCGCATTGATTTCATTAGTCACAGCTGATTCTTCAGTCCTAGATGACAAGAAACCAAAAAACCAATTTAAGTATATTACATGAGCATCTCTGCTGATAGAGTCAACACTTCCCTCGGAATCAGTAGCTGTTTCCATCATCTGCATTTTTCTCAACACTTATTTTCCAAGCTTCCACAGAACATCCCATTAAGCTTTAAGCACTCAGTGACTTTTTCAGCCATGTTCCAAACACTTTCACAACCCTCCCCAAAACAACACAGCCTCTTCCTCAAAACTCTCTGGTAACAATTTCCATTTTAGTTAGGTTTCTATTGTTTTGGTAAACACCATGACCAAAAGCAACTTGGACAGAAAAGGGTTTATTTGGCTTTCAGTTACAATACACCATTGAGGGAAGCCAGGGCAAAAAGTCAAGGCAGGAACTAAAGTAGAGTCATCTAAAATAAATAACCTAATAGTACACCCCAAGACTCTAGAAAAAAAGAAACCCAACCCATGCATGAGATGGCAAGAAATAAAGATTAGGACAGAAACCAATGAAACAGAGACTAATAAGAACAACACAAACAGTTTGTTCTTTGAAAAGACTAACAAGATTGATAAACCCTAGCCAAACTAGAAAGAGATGAAAAGGGAATTGCTACAACAGACTCCAATGAAACCCAAATCATTAGTTAATATTTTGAAAATGTATTTAAAGACTTTGGACAACCTAGAAATTAGTACATTTCTAAGCACATATGACCTATCTAAATTAAATCCAGAAGATAAACAATTTAACAAGAAATGAGATTGAAGCAGTAATTAAGACTCCATGGGACTGGGAAGATGGTTCAGCATATACAGCCATTTGTTGCCAATCTTGATTACCTAAGTTCAAACCCCAGGACTCACATGGTAGAAAGAACTGACACCTTCAAGTTGATACCTCCACTCATGTACCAAAGCACATGTGTACACACAAGAGTAAATAAATAATAAATAATTTTTTAAGACATGTATATGGGGTTGGGGATTTAGCTCAGTGGTAGAGCACTTGCCTAGCAAGCACAAGGCCCTGGGTTTGATCCTCAGCTCAAAAAAAAAAAAAAAAAAAAGACATGTATATGTCTTGTCTTACTGTTTCTATTGCTGTAAAGAGACACAATGACCACACAACTCTCATAAGGAAAACATTTAATTGAGGGGGCTTGCTTACAGTTTCAGAGCTTCAGTCTATTGTCATCATGGTGGGGATGGTGGCATGTAGGCAGATGTGGTGCTGCAGGAGTAGCTGACAGTCCTACATCTTGCAGGCAACAGGAAATTAACTGAGACTGGGCAGTATCCTGAGCTTAGGAAACCTCAAAGCCCACCCCACAGTGACACATTTCCTCCAACAAAGCCACACCCCTTAATAATGCCACTCCTTATAAATTATGGGGGCCAATTACATTCAAACTACCACATGTCTCCCCATCAGAAAAGGGCCTATTACCAGATGGATCCACTGCTGGGTTCTATGAAACTTTAAAGGAAGATCTAATACCAACACTTGCCAAACTGTTTCACAAAACAGAGAGAAGGAACACTAAAAACCTCATTCTATGAAGCCAGTATTACTCTGATACCAAAACCAGATAGACACAATAACAAAGAAAGGAAATTTTTAGATGAAAAGTTCACTTAATATATGTAAATCAATAAATATACTATATCATATTAACAGACTTAAAACAGAAATTGTACAGTCGTCTTGACAGATAGAACTAGTATTTGACAAACTTTAACCCACTTCATAATATAAGTCCTGAAAATCTAGGAGTAGACAGAACAACCTCAATACTTGACAAACCTACAGCTAGTATCATACTAAATGGGGGG